TTAGAAAGAAAAGTAGCAGCAGAATATCAAATGGCTCTCTCGCAAGAAGAATTAGCGGAAAAAGAACAATATTTTCAGTTTTCATCGCCATAGTCTCCCATTTTTTCTTCAAATTCAGGCATGTTCTCAGCAACAATAGTTTTTAAATTAGTTGGCAAGTGTTCAATATCACTGTTAATTTTAGTGTGGCTAACATTGATGTGTTCTAAATGTTCTAAATGTCTTAAAGAAGATAAAGAGCCATGAGAATTAGTGCGATATAAATCTAAAGTATTTAAATTAACTAACTGAGTAAACTCATCGAGAGAAATGCTTAAAAGCCTATTTTCTCTTAGACTTACACGAACTATTTTTTCAGGATTACTTAAAGTTGTTAAGAAATTCTTAATTAAAAAACCACTAAACCAGCAATCAATTTCTGCTAGATTAGAATTATTACTTAAATCTAAGTCGTTTAAATTGTTATAGGAGCAAAGTAATTTTCTTAAATTTAAACAACCACTAAGACTTAATTTATTTAAATTGTTGGACATACAATTTAATTCTTCTAGTTCAGTATATTGATTAAGGTCAAGTTCTCCTGCCAATTGTTTTCCGCTAATGTCTAATTTTGTAATACTTTTATCTGGATAGTTTTTATCCAATCATTTTTGTGCAATTACCATATTGTTTTGTTAAATTTATGTTGTTATTGTTTAAAATTTCATTTTGTAATCACTACCATGCAATTAAGCCACTTTATATCTAACTAGGAGTGATTTTTTAATGACAATAAAGATTATCAAGTTTAATTATGCTAGTTAGATATCTCTATCGTTTTCTCCATAGGCAAAATTTAATATAGAGGATTAATTACTTATGTAATACTTACTCTACAAACTGTTTTACCCTTTTTAGTTAATAATAACTCTTTTTTTTGTGTAAAGAAGAAAAATATTATTATCTTATTTTTCTCTTTTCTTCTGATTACTAATTACTAACCAAATAATAATTATTCCCAAAACTAAAACACTCCCTCCAATTATCCAAGGAGTATAGTTAAAAGGTTCAGAGTTAGTTTTTCTTTCTAATTCTCTTAATCTAGTTCTTAAATCCGCTAATTCTGCTTCTTCTTCCGGAGTGCGATTAGGTTTTCGTTCTAATCTCTTTATTTTCTTCCTAATTGTGCTCTCTCTCTCTCTCTCTCTGTCATTAGGTATTTCTTGCTCTTTTTCTTTTTTAAATTCTTGACAATAATTTTCAATATACCCTGCCATCTCTCAATATAATTCTTGATTCATAAAATCACTAATCATGGTTCCTAATCTACCTCTTTGTAAATCTGAATAAACATCGTAGTATTTTTTTTTCTTAAGAAAGTTGTCAAACTCAGAACCAATAACATTAGTATTAGTTTTCAGTCATTTCTCAACTTTTTTATAATATCATCTTTGAAAAGCAACGCTAAACTCATCACTTTTATCATCGCCGCAGTCTAAGCAATAAGCATTTTTAGTCTTTTCTTTTTTGAAGAGGTCATCTCAGTAGATATTCTCGTGATTACAACTCATAGTGTTAATTTATAACCTATTTTTTAACAAAAAAAAGCAAAATAATATCTAATAACCATCGTTCTTACTTGTCATCTCTTATCAACTTATACATCACATAACATCCACCTATTATCATTATATTTTCCAAAGTAAGAAAGTCTCAAATTCAATGTTTGTCATCCGGATTTAGACCGGCATTATTAATAGTTTCATTATTCTTTGCTATTCTTTCTCCTAATTTTTTTAATTGATCGAGGATGCTTTTCTTATTAGTGTTGGTCTGATCTAATTCTTGTTGCAAAGAAACGATTGACCTTTTTAAAGAACTTCTTTCTTCTTCAGACAAGTCAGGTCTATTTAGTTTACCTTTAGTTTCTTCTAGGTCTTTTGATAATTTCTTAGTTTTTTCGTCTAATTCATCATAATTTTTTTGTAGTGTGTCCTTTTCCTCTTGAGCTTTTTTATTGTCTTCTCGAGCAGCATCGATTGATTTAGACTTTAAGTCATATTTATTTCTTTTAGTTTTTTGACTATTTTCATAAGCATCATGAGCTTTTTTTATACAATAACTAGTCGCTATTGCTCCACAGATTCAACAAACTCCCTTAACTGCTCCAGCTACAATTGGTACTATTAATGGTGCTGGCATAATTATTTATTATTTATATTTGAGCCTTGTGGGCTAATTTGATTGTTTTTCATATTTAATTCGAGGTTGTTTAATTCTTGTATCAAGGTTAAAAGAGTATTTTTACCGCTTGCTATTTTTTTCTCATGATTAATGATTAGTTGTTGAATTTCTTGAATTTTCTTTTTTATTTTTGTGATTAATTGTTGTTGGGTCATATTTTTAACTGTTTATTTTGCTTCCTATTTCAGAAAGCATATGCCTTATGTCTTCATTAGCTTTGATGAAATTTGTGTTAAAAGCATCATTAGCTGATTTCATTTCATTTAATATTGCACTACTAGTTTTCTCCATTTCTTTTAAACGAATATCTAGGGTATTGCTAATATGATTACTGGCTTCCATTATTGCTTCTTCCATATTTAATTTCTTTGGTTTAGTAAATTTTCCATCAAATTCTTCTATTTCTTTGTTATCAAATTTTTGTCAAAAGAATTCAAAAAACTCTCCTAGCTGAATACCTTTTTGCTTTATTATTTCCTTGGGCTTACCAGTTTTTTCATCATTAATCACTTTGCCATCTTTATCAGTTTCTTCTTCTTTGATTTCTTCAAGAATTTTTTTATTTTCTTCATTGTTAATAAACTTATTTCAAAATGATTTGTCAGAATCAATTTCTCCATTCTTAACTTTACCAAGAAAATATTTATCAAATAAAATTTTGTTAAAACGGTTAACTTGTTTAATGTCTTCGCTGTTTAAATCTTTTGTGTTTATTCAGTGATCAGGAAATTTGCTAGTAATTCCTGCTTCCTCAGCATAATACATAAAAGTTCCTAAAGTTCAACTAAAAGATAAAGCATTACTTAACCTTCCAGACTGATAGACTGCAATATCCACATTATTTAAATGATTGGTAGCTACAATTCACAAATTTTTACTTTCTTCTACTTTATCATCGCTCCCCATACATTCTTTAAGAAAAGTTAATTGCGAAGAAGCATCTTTAGGTGGTAAAAGATTAGTAGTGCAAACTTGATCGCCTTCATCAATAAAGAGAATATATTGCGGTTCGCCACTCTCTGCTCTTTCATAACCAAAATTATCAACCAAATCATTATTGATAGTGCTAATAGTATAAGTAAATTTCAACAAAAGATCAACATTAACTTTTTGATCTCTTGACTTTGGAGTTAAAGTTGAACCCTGAATAACTACTAACGGATATTTATCAGCTTCATAAGCTAATTGTTCAACTTTAATTGATTTACCAGTTCGTGGTGCTCCATAAAAAAGAGCGTTATTGTCTAATTCAGCCGGATTATTTGGATCTTGTTCACCTCTTACTGGATCTGATAACACTTTATCGTATCACTCATCAACCAAAGCATTGAATCTATAATTTTGAACCTGATCTCGCAGAGTTAATTCGCCATAACCTTTACTTTTAGCTAGTTGTTTTTGCTTTTCTGACAAATCATTTCACAAGGAAGGAGGAAATTTAATTTTATAAATGGCATTAATACTGAAATGATTAGGTTCTTCACCCATAATTCTAGTCATTTCTTGTCAAGAACTTTCAAAACTTTGTTTATTACTTATTAGTCAGCGGTCAGCTCAATTGTGTGGTTCTCTTCGTCAGTGAAGACCTTGTATTTTAATTTTTTCCTGAATAATAAAATCCACTGATTCTTGCTCGATAATAGAAATATCATTATTAGTGGCTTGTTTAATCCTTTTGTAAAACTTTTTGAGATCTTTTTCGAGAGATGGTGCTAACCTTAGTTCTTTTTCAGCAAAGTTTTCTATATTGGTAATGGCTTCTTTTCTTAGTTCTTCAATGGACTTTCCTTGGCTCACAGTGGCTTTTTGCTGAATTTCTCTTTTCATTTCCTTAGCAAATAGATTGATTTGAGAAGAAGAATAACATTTATCTAAATAATTTCCTCAACTATCAGATCCTTTTCATAAATTAGCACTTAAATCATTAAGATTAACATTAGAATTTTGCAACATAGTTTTTATTTCTTGGATTGCTTTACTTCTCTTTTTTGGTAAATAAAGGAAAAAATAATAACTTGCTCCGGCTAATAGTGCAATAGTTAGTAATTGTCTATTCTGCTTTTTCATTTTGGTAATAAAGGTAGGCAATGAGTAATAAACCACTAGTAATTAGTAATAATTCTTGGTTTTCTGATCATCAGTTAGTCGGTTGATTATCATTTACTTCTTGATTAAGTGGTGTAGTTCTAGGATTCTCACCTCTGTTTTCAGTGATTTCATCGTCAGAATCAGAATCATCAGAGTCAGTTTGATTACCTTTATTGCCTCCTGAACTACTATTACCTCTGTTTCTTTTTTCGATAGCTCTTTTCATCTTTTCTATTAAGTCGTTAGCTTTTTTGCTTGGATCAAAGTTGAATTTATTAGAAATTTCTTTTTGCTTTTCGTAATTCTTCTTCAATATTTGTCCATCTTCTTCTATTATTTGGAGAATGGCTACTTTTTCACTAGGACTAATATCTTTGCTCATTGCCTTGCGTTTATTTGATTCCATTCTTTGAGTAATTTGCCTTTCTTCAAACTTTAGTTGATTTAATTCTTGAACTCATTTATAAGTTTCTCTTTGTAAATCGCTTTTTAATTTAATTAAACCTTCTCGACAAACATTTAATTTTGAAATAACACCTTTATTTGTTGCTTGGTCAGCCCAAATGATACAAATCCCAAACATAGAACTAGAAGAACTAGTTTGAACTTGTAGACCTTGCAAAACTTCTTCACATTTTCTAATATAATTAGACTTTTTGGCTTCGTATTCTTGATTACTTGTGCATGCTTTTAATTGTTCTTTAATTTCTCTTAGACTTTCCATTTTATTAAAAGAAGTTGCTAATGTCTGACAATCTTCTTTTAAATTATGGGTTCCGCCTCAATTGCAAGCTCCGCCATCTCAATAACCAGCATCATCTTTAAATTCTTCCTTGCCTTTGCGAATTCTGCCGGCATCTCTAAAAATTCTTTCTAATTCTTCTGCACTATATCGTGTCATATTTTTAAATCTTTAAAATTCGGTCAATTTAGTAATTAATTGCT